CCCTTACCTTTATCATGCGAGGTATGATGACCTGCAAAACAGGTTAGTCCAACAATTGAGCGTTAGACCAAAAAGGTCTAGTGAGTGTATAAATCTCAAACAAACAACATACTTTCCAAACAACCAGTTCAGAATCAAACATGTTCTGACACATAAACTTATTTATGTCTCTCGCGGTTACACCGCCATTACATTTCTCTCGCGGTTACACTGTCATTACATCTCTCTCGCGGTTACACCGCCATTACATCTCTCTTGCGGTTACACCGCCATTTCATCTCTCTCGCGGTTACACCACCATTACATCTCTCTCGCGGTTAGAGCGTCATTTCATCTCTCTCGCGGTTACACCGCCATTACATCTCTCTCACGGCTCGCGGTTACACCGCCATTACATCTCTCTCACGGTTACACCGCCATTACATCTCTCTCGCGGTTACACCGCCATTTCATCTCTCTCGCGGTTACACCGCCATTACATCTCTCTCGCGGTTACACCGCTATTACATCTCTCTCGCGGTTACACCGCCATTTCATCTCTCTTGCGGTTACACCGCCATTACATCTATCTCGCGGTTACACCGCCATTACATCTCTCTCGCGGTTACACCGCCATTTCATCTCTCTCACCGTTACACCGCCATTTTATCCCTATCGCGGTTACACCGCTATTTTATCTCTCTTGCGGTTACACCGCCATTACATCTCAAAAACATTTCAAAAACCTTCTCTCTTTATCCGGACTTGAAGTCCGGTCAATCTTCTTCGGATAACAAGTCCGGTCAACCTAACACTTGAAATTTAGTTAACATCTTTGTCCGGATAAGAAATCCGGACAATACTTCACTTATAATCTTGACCGGTNCCATTACATCTCTCTCGCGGTTACACCGCCATTTCATCTCTCTCGCGGTTACACCGCCATTACATCTCTCTCGCGGTTACACCGCCATTACATCTCTCTAGCGGTTACACCGCCATTACATCTCTCTAAAAATAATTCAACATATTAGCCATATTTGAAGTCCGGTCAGCCTTGTCCGGATATGAAATCCGGACAAATACTTAGAATATTAAGGTAAATCGACCACGCCTTGAGCGATTTATAATATGAATAAAACTGTCCGGATATCGATCCGGTCATCACATTTGTTTGAGCGGTTTATAATCCGCACACCTCTTGAGCGACTTATGGTTAATCCGGTCACCTCTTGAGCGGTTTAGGGTTGAGTCCGGACAACACTTGAGCGGTTTAAGAATAAACCGGTCACCTCTTGAGCGATTTAAAGAGAACTTCGGACACTTTTTGTCTGGTTTAAGGACTTAACTAAATATTTATGAAATGCAGTTCATAAATAGCAGATTCTAGCAGTGAAAGAAGTAATAATCAATACATTAAAGCAATATACACTCACCTTAAACAAGGAAATCTTGATTCTGAATTCTCTTCTTCTTTTCTGCCAAATTGTACAATTCACAAAGAAAACTTTTCTAATGAAGCAAGTATGAAAACCCCCTACATCCTTCCCTCTTACTATAAATAGTAAGAGGAGACACTAATATGGCGGTACACACACACACATAGCCGACTTAGCATTTTCCCATAATTGTTTTTACTTCAAATAAAAGCAATTATACATACACACACATTCTTTTATATATATATATATATATATAATCAAAAAAAATCTTAATTCAAATCTCAAACCTGAATATTACACCAAATTGCCCCGATATCTTGACATATTGATTGAGTTCCATCCATAAAGTATCATTTATTTCTTCATCACGCACAAGTCGGTCAATTGCCTCGTATAGTCCCGTCTTGATGTATCTATTATTCTCAACTTCTGAATCTTGTGCATAATAAATGGCGGGGTTGAAGTATTATCCGGCTACAAATGTACTAAAAGATAATAACAATAATTGTATTAAATTTAAAAATTAAATAAATAAAACACAGCAATGTTTTATAAATTATACCGACATGCAAAGGATAATGAACTTGGTCATTCCATCATGCTTGAATCATTGACCACACTTTAGTGATCAGTCTTTCGTGAATAGTGCCAGTCAAGTTCTTCTTAATTTGATCTTTAGCTCTCTCCATAGCATCGTATATATAGCCCATACACGGCTTCTCCTCCGTATCAACCAACCGAACAACATCAACCAACGGTGCCAATACCTGACAAGCAAGATAAATATTGTCCCAAAACTCTTGCTTAGCTATTATTCATTCAATTCTTTTTCCGATGGCTTTTTTGGCAAAGTCACTCTTCCTCCATAGTTTAGAAACAAACAGCACTTGGAGATGATGTTGATTCTCATGGATGCTCTGAATGGTGTAGAATTGTGTTGCGAACCTTGTAACACATGACCGATGCAGTTCTCTAGTTTTAGTATGCTTTCACATCATATTCAAAATCCTTCCGTGGTTATAAATATAAACCACTACTGCTCTCGTATCAACTAACACACTTTTAATTTTCTGAATTTTCTCTCCAACATCTCCTATCATAAGATTCACGCAATGTGCTGTGCATGGTGTCCAAAACATCTGAGGATGTTGTTCTTCCAAGATTTTTCCAGCAGCTTTAAAGTTGGACCCATTATCGGTGACAAACTAGTATAAGTAAAAAACAATTAGTGACTACTTCAATATATGTGTGTGTGTGTGTAGAATAATGTTAATACTTAATATAGATAGAATATTTATTTGTTACCTGCACGATGTTCTCCTTTTTGACATCCTCTATAACCTCATTGATCATCTGTACAATTAATTGAGCATCTTTTCACATGCTCCGATGCATCAATTGATTTAAAAAAAATTGTCCTTTGTGGACAATTGACCAAAAAATTGATCAAACTTCTCCCTTTCCCGTCTGTCAAAAAATCAGACATAATAGTGCATTTACTCTTCTTCCAGTCTGAACGGAAGGAATCCACAAACTTGTTGGTGTCCTCAAGTACATCTTTCAACAATTTGACCCGAATATTATGATAACTTAGAGCCGGCATGCCTACCAACGATAGGAATAAAGTTAGTACTTACTATTTAGTAGTTAACCTTTGAGAAATATATTAGAAATTTGAAGTGGTAATTACCTCTTCCATACTCTCCAACCACATTTATGAACTTTTGAAAGTTCTCATCTTGCACGACATTGAATGGTAACCCAACCGAATATGCCCAAACCGCAAACTCTTTCCAAGTGGCCAACTTTAACTTCTCTTTGATTGGATTGTTTCTATCTAAAGTGGCTTGCTTTATCTTGGCATAACCGGGCTTCAACATCGCATCAAGAGGCCTGCGAACATCACTAGCGGGCTTTCTTTTTAAACCACGAGGCTGTGTTGAGGCTTGTGCTCGTGCTCATCCTCCTTCGATAATCTCTATTCCATCTACGTCTTTGCTCATCCTCATCAATATCATCAATATCATCAACTTCAACCGAATATTGTCGAAGGATTTCTACATTTCTATTTCGTTCTTTCTTTTTCTTATTCTTTTCACTAATGGATGCTAGAACTCTTTTTTTGATGTCGTTACTCACACTAGGACAACCAATGACATTACCTCCGGTGTGAGTAAGATGTTCTTTCAACCTAGTGATCCCCCACTCATTTTTTTATCACATAAGGTACACCATACATTATTTTTTTTGGTTGGATCTTTCCATACCCCCCATTTCCAAACCATATCTCTATTGATGCATTTTGTACCCGCATCTGATGAGGTAGTAGTAGTAGTAATCGGGGGGTCACAGATGCCCTTGAAGATTTACCCCCTTCTCTACTTTCCATTGTTTTTTTAGTAATTAAGTTCTAAGTTCTAAGTTCTAACTAAGACAAATAAGAATAATTAAGTGAGTGGGTGGGTGGGTGATAGTAAGACCTGGAGGCTGGACCAGGCACTGTTGAGGGAGTCACTAGGCTGTATTGAGGAACTGTTGGTGGCTGAGTTGACCAGGAAGGCAGGAACTCAGGTGGCTGCTGTTGTTGTCGATTGTTGTTGCTGTCGATTGCTGTTGCTATTGATTGTTGTTGCTGGCTGCTGTTGCTGTCGATTACAGTTGCTGCGGTTGCTGTTGTGGCTGTAGCAACTTGGTAAGCAAAGGAGATCGAGAAGAGAGACCGAGAAAAGAACTAGGTGTCGTGAAGTCGAAAAGAACTAGGTGTCGTGAAGTCTGAAGTTGTGAGAAGTCGAAGTCGTGATTCGTGAAGTCGTAAATATAAAAGAAAGGAAGAAGACCGTTGTGGAAGGCAGACTAATTTCAGACCTAATATAAGTTACCAAGCCCAAAAAACTAGGCCCATGAAATAACAAAAGCTCAAATAATTAAACCCTAAAAAATCGATATATCGGTCCGATATATACATCAAAATATCGCTAAAAATCGGGAAAAACCAGAAAATATCGCCGATAATATCGGGGACGATATTTTGACCGATATTTATGCACCGATATTTTCTCTAGGACCGATATCCGATATATCGTCGATATATCGATGATATATCGCGATATTAACAGCATATCATATTGCTAAAAAGGAAACTAAGTTGTCCATAGTTCAATCTTCAAAACCAAAAAAGGTTTCATGGGTTGATATAGCAAATGAAGATTAGTAGTAAATACTGCCATGAGCGTGGTATGGGATAAAAATATTTGATCAAAAGCTACATATCCGATATGATAGCATCATGTTCTAAATATCATTCTAATTTTTTTTCCTCGATGAACTGTTGTTCAATAAAATGTTTGTTAGATAGTAATAATGTGCCCATACATGTCTGATGCTAGGTCCATCGATACTAATTGGTTGATGTTGTATGAGCTTCCCGTAATTTAAGATGCTTTTAAAGTTCCAATCTTCTTTTCTTCATGGGTTTATAAATAATTATCTTTTATTGATTTGTTTCATCAGCTGGACTCAAAGTTATTTCGTTTCGTCCCTAGGAATCTGTGTCAGCTTCCACAAGCTTGAAGGTGGTATTATTAAAGCAAAATCTGACTTGGAATTAAAACCTTTATGGTCGACAAGTAGTTCACAGTTGAAGGTTAGACTAAACCTTGCTGCATGGTTGGTTTTATATGTAACTATATTTATTTTCAACCGCAATCACTTGATGATGATACATAATTTTAAACAACTCAAGGTCACATCTAGGTTAAATCATTACTTCTATACCTTACTTCATTATTCTTCTCCAATATACCTTTCTGCATTGTTTGCTCTACCAAGTACTTTTCTTGCGTGGAACCTGGATAAAAGATTATCTTGTCGATGGTTTAAAAAGTTACCTGTCATATAGTTCTTTTACTATTTTTGTGTTGCAGGTTCTGTCAGGTAAAACCATTTTATAGTATTGGTTAGCAATGGAAAGTTTTTTGCTGTTGCAATCCCAAAATTATGGCTTAAGCTAACAAATTTTCAATCAAGTGGTACCATCCAAGTAGCACTTTGTTTCGTATCAGATTAGGCTATGTGACTTTGTTATTGTTGCATAAGATTTATGCACTTGCATCAATTTGCATATCCTTATTCTTATGAAGTTTATTTATCGTCCAACATTATGTAGGTGTTTTTGACTATTACAAACCTGCTATGGAACCATCTCCAAGACCATTTATAGGTGATGGTTATTTTTTATATATTTGGTTTGTTTTTGCTCAATTATCAAACCCAAAGTTCTTATATGTATCATCCTATCAACGTTTTTAGGTAAGTTGCATCACTAGAAAGCACATTATACAACTTTTCATGGAATAAGGAGGCGATTGGCTGGAAAGGTTAATGAATTCCTTAAAATCGTTTCTTTTTGCCTTTGCTTTGTTTTTATGTGTGATGTTTCATTTTTGATAGTTATCATTGATTTTCTACTGTTAGTGTTTAGCCTTCGTCTACCACTCTTCCTCTGCCGCATCTTGCTTTCCCTACAATTGCAATTGCAATTCTGATTCCAGGTCTGTTGCATCTTCCTTTACTTTTAACAATTTGCAGTTATTAAATTCAGCACTTTTTACCATCTAAGTATCACAGTTTAGTGGTCCGTTTATCAAATGCTTACCCGGTTAAGCGCTTACCAAGTCATATTAACTTACCGGATGAATATGACAAAGACCAAAAATCTTACCAGGTAAGAACGAGACAATGAACAAGAGTCTTACTCGGTTAGTGAAGACGGCGATTCATGTGGTCATCACCTGTAGCTTGTAGGGAGCCTGAATGCACCAGAAAAGAAAAGCTAGGGGATGGAGGGAGACCCTCTAAAGGTTCAACTTTAGCCTAATTAGCTTAAGAAATTATATGATTCTTTCGGTTGTTGCATTTTATTACATACTTGTGTCTGATCTTTAGGCAGTAGATGGTTGGAATTGGTTTGTTACAGGGATTTCATTCTTAGAGCCAAGTATTTGTATTCATGAGAAACATTTATGATGTGCAGTAAATTCTTTTTGATCCAAGATTTCATCCTTGTCATGTTTTGAAATCTACACATACTCTCTGTCACTCATGCCATGTCTTTTTCATCTTTAAAGGACACTTACTAAACTTTAGTCCTTTTCTTATATGGACCATCCACCACCCTAGAACATGGATCTGCCCTCCTCTCCCCGTGTTGCTGTTTCTCGTGTGGAGGTAAGATCTGAGTACATTTTACTCCCAGATTCTACCTTCGGAAAATAATTTGTGTTCTTAAGACATCGCACGTGTGTGGCTGCTAGCTTCCTGTGCGTAGTCACGCGTACCCTTTAAATTATTATTATTATTTTCTTATGAGAAGTTATGGCAAGCAATGGTAATTATTTCGTTGAAGGTGGTTTGTATTTTGACTGAAAATTGGCTGTAAAAAGTAGATTTAAATGATAATTTTCTTCTAATTTTTTGAATCACAAATTGGATTAATTTTTTACTTTTGGATTACAATACATCTTGTTGCATTGCGAAAAATTTGATAGAATCTTTACATGTGAACTATCAAGTATCTTAAAGATATCTTGCAATTATTTGATATTTATAAATTGAATGTTCTTGGTACAATCTTTACATCCCGTCGCATTGTGCGGGTACACAACTAACATATATATACTACATTAATAACCATTTAGACCAAAATCTTAATAACAACTCTTAAAGCATAGATTACCATCATTTTATGCAAGAAATTCAAAAATCTCTTAATTACAAATTATTATGCATAATGTACAAATTCTTATGTCAAAACGAAATCCTAATCAAGTCAAACCTACTTTCTCTTCTCGAACTTCTAAAATTACCACAATTGACCGCTTTTTCTTTTGAATTCAATCTCTGCTATTCATTTTACCACGAACCTTGTTTTATAATATTATCGTCAGCAACAAGACACAACCAGCTGAGGAAAACAGACGACCTACGCTTCCGTAAACTAATTCAAGATACTAATTCAAGATTAAACAATCCCTTTCTCCCATCCAGAATTCAAGTTCTTGCGCAGATCGACGAACAATACCTCTATATACAGAAATCTACAAGAATAGTTGTTGTACCGTATGCCATGGGTTGCTCCTCCTCCCTTCCAGGTATTATTAATTTTCTAATTTAGGGTTTTGCTGGTTCTTTCATTAATTTGAGAACCTTCATCAATAACCTTATATTCGTTGAGTTTATTGATTCCGAGCTGGGAAAAGGTTTGAATATGACTTTGAATTGTATTAGGTTTATATGCTTGTTGTTGCTAAGCCGCTTGTTTGATTGCTTAGCTTTGTTCCGTGATGGCGCTAATTTTCTGATTGTTTTGCGATGTGATTTGTTTATTGGGGAATACTGCTTTGCAGATAGGAATGTGGGGCGGGGCGGGTGGACTTAATCCGGATAACGACGACGATTCTGATGCTAAAAATCTACGTGTTAAGGTAGTCTTTTATTTGTAAAATGAGTCATGTTTATAGTTCCATTGTGAATTTACTTTTTTGTTTTTCTGGAAATCGGTTGAATGTTAGCGAGTGTTTATKTAACATTAAGCCATGATATGCGAGAATTCTTAGATTTTATTTAAGAGTATTACTACAACCTAGAAGATACCATTATCATATTCTTTTCTCCGGACACTATAAATAACCCGCCATGCAATACTCAGTTAATACATATTTGAGTTTGAGCTATTGTGGCCTTGGCTCCTGGGTACCCAGCCGAACGAATGGTGTTCTTAGTTCTTAACTTTCTCTTGATATGGTCAGATCCCATTCTGTATATTCTGCTAGAAGTGTTGGCAGAAAATAAACTTGAAGAGTTGAAGGAAAAATTATTCTGACTGAGATGAGGAATCTTAGTTGATTATGAGCTTCCTTAAGATGTAGGATACTAAGATCTTGCGATTGCATTAAATTAATAAAGTGAAAGGATCTTGGTTTGACGTATGAGACAAGAAACTCGTGAAAGAGTACAACATGCGTGTTAAATAATTCTATGTCCTATAGTATAACATTCAATTATCAAGTTGTTAATAAATATATATATATGTCCCCATTGATTAATAGGATAAAATGTTCACACGACTAAACCTTATGTAAGGTGCATTGGTTTTTCATATTGCAACATGGAGTGAACATTAGAAGCTCGACAGAGCCCTTTGAAATAACTTTCCTAACAAAACACTTGATCTCGTTACTTTATAAATAACTTACCAATGTGCATTACCTTGTAACCACATAGATGGATCATGGATCCTTTCACAATGCTTTGATTATCTCATAATCTCACATAAAACAATGAATTGGTTTCCGTTGTTGTTATATTCAAGTCACTTACAATTCATCTATTCATGAATGCACTTGAGTCATGCATGAAGCCAACATATTAAAAGGAAAAATAAGGACAACTGAGAAAATGAGGAACTCCAGATTCAGTCTTGCCTGAAATACCATCGTACTGTCATTGATACTATAAGAAACGAGAAGGGAAACAAGAAAGAAGTGTAGGATATATCAGATAAGTGATTTTAGAGAATTTCAAGGGAAATTAGGGGTAGGACGGTCAAATCTATTTCTAAAGTTGGGGAATTATTTGTAGACTTCCTTGTGTATCATAGCAGAAAATTGTATACATAGATGAGAATGAATTGTAGATGATGTAACACCATTTGCGGTTGTAAGCGTTAAAACTTAGGTTTTGGTACTCGAGGAAGCTGTTGCTGACAAGATCAATGGCAAAAGGATTCATGAAGAGTTGGTGTGCATACCGCATAAACTTGAAAACACCAGAGAACAATGTTGGAAATTATATGGAAAACCATCTGCAAACAGTCGTGAATGGGGACAGAAAGATGGCCAACAAAGATATGCTCAGGTGGCGTTTTAAGATCCAACTCAAGTGCTTGGAGGATTTAGCATGGATGAGATGATTAGACGTATGTTGGGAACCACAAAAAAATGACTAGCAATTCTCAATCAACGAGTTAGGGCATATATTCGTTGATACTTTCATGTAAGGCTCTTACTTTTCATAGATTGAATGCTTTAGGTAGTGAGCATACAGATGCCTGGATCATAGACTACGGTGCTGCGAATGAAATGACTAATAAATTCAAAATCTATATGGATATATCTTGTGTCTTAGCAATAGAAAGATTGTTGTTGCTGCTACAACCATAGTAGCAGGAATAGAAAGCATCCGGGTGACCTCAAAACTATTGCTCCCTGTTATTTACAAATTTGGTTTTCATACAAAAGCTTACCAAAGATCTTGTGTTAGCTTGGCTCCAACGGTCAAAAGTACCTGGAGGTCCCAAGTTCAAATCCAAGGAGGAATAAAAATCCTCTTATGGCCACGGAATTCCAAATGCGATGACTCCAAGCCATCTGCAAAGCAGGTGGGATTAGTCGGCTCGCATAGCGGGTTGGATATCCATGTTAATAAAAAAAAGATCTTGTGTTATCTATACAACCTTATAAACTAGATTTCATGAAAGTCTTAAAAACAACCTTAAATGCATAAGGTAATACATTTTGATCCACAAAAACTTAAAGTCTTAAAAACAAGTCCTAATGCATAGAGTACTACTATTTTATGCATAGAGTACAATTTAACCATGTTGTTCATCCCTATCGCTCATCCCAAAGCAACGATTCAATTTAAATCTCGGGCGATTATATTCCCAAGACTCCATACACTCTCATCTGTTCATCCCTCATCCGACGATTCAGTTTCTCAACTCATCGATTACCAAAATGACGATTCAAACTCTGATTACTGATATGTTATGAGGGTTCACTACCATTCGCTCTCCATCACCCTCAATCTATCGCTCTCCATCCAGAAGTCACTACCTTTTGATCGTATTAAGAGCCACCAGAAATCCTTTTATGCTCGTCATATTCCGGATTTCGTGGTACATATGCTCCAGATCTTCTAAATACAAGTTTGAGAAGTCAGCTTCACTAAACACCCAGACCTTACCATCTTGTCGTGTCACTGTGAATACTGGATACCAGACTTTGAAAAGTATTTGAGCATTAATTTGTTTAATTGACACAACTCGATGTTTGGACCCAACTTGACTGATCGAGAGACGCTTGGCTTTGAGGAAGTGCTTATACTCGAAACGATAGTCTTTAGATTCCTTATGAATACCAAGAATCTTATCAGCATTTAGAGCTTTGCGGTGCCGAAGGAAGATGCCAAAATAGATGTCTTCAAGATAAGGCTCTCTGATTCTTGCCCTGTCATAGCCTGGAAAGTTAGCTCGTATTGCAAATGGCACATAATTCCTTGTAAATATCTCGGTCGGATCAAATACCGCTCTTGGAGTATCGGACGCACCAACTTCAACTGTAGTGGAAGGTTCAGGCAATGTCTAACGATCACCCTGAAATTGGAATACTGGGTCTTCTTCATTGATGTCAGCTTCAAAGTCAAAATATAACCCAAATGATTTGTCAATATTATCAATATCTTTTTCGAAATCCTGTTATCTACCCAATACCGTAGCAAAAACATCATTAAAACCAACATTGGCCAACAAATCCAATAACAGCCTTGTTCCTACCATGGAGTCCGCTGGCTTTTCAACCATTGGCTCGATCGATGGATTTGTCTCCAATACTTCATCATCTTCCACAATAATTGGCTCGCTAGTTCTTTCCCTTGTAGACTCAGGAACAGAACGTTCTACGTTAACGTCTTGAGTAGATGGCTCTCTTTCAACACTTAGAGCGTGAGCAGACGACTCAGCCACCCTTTGTCTTTTTCTCTCCCCCTCATGATGATCAGGATCGTCCGGATCATCATGCCTTCATTTGAGTGAGGTGGCCTGAGCTCGGCAAGTCTATTCTAGGATAGATACCCATTCGAAGAGGGCATCAATTGAACTTTTAAGAACTTGAGTGTTTGATGTGATTAACTTACTAACTTTGGTGAAGATAGAAGCAACCACATCCTGAAAGGCCAAAAACTTTGAGGCTCGAACTGTGGGGTTTTCATCA